TTCTATAGTTCGTAATGTCGAGTAATGAGTTCGATTATCTTATCTATTCCTAGGTATCCTATAAGTAGGTCGTTGTAGTAGTATTCTATAACTATCTTCCTATTTTCTTGTATTTTCTAGGGCTATTCTAGTCCTATTATATCTTTTATCTAGATCTTCGTATTATACCCGTTATTCGTATTATATAACGGCCCCCCTACTACGTAAGTAGGTTAAGCGTACGTAAGGTACTCTCCTTCTTATCGTAGTAGTGACGCGGGCGTTAATTTAATGTCTACTATATAATCTATTCTCCGGCTTAAGGCGTCTACCCTACCGTTCTCCTTTCCTTTTATATAGTAAATCTAGAAGTTATAAGTAGTAAGTGTCTCTACCTATCTTACCTACCTTCGGTTAAGAACCTTAGTCGTATTCCAGTATAATAGGTTCTTATGATCTAAGTATATCTTAACCGTATGTTTCGGTCCTTCGAGGTATACTCTCTAGTACTTTAGTACTTCGACGATAGTAAGTAGTTCCTTATCGTATATATCGTAATTTAGCTCTAGTACTATTATCTTTCTTGAAAAGTAAGCTACTAGTCTTATCTTCTTATCTAGTCCTATCTATATTAGGACCGCGGCGATCGCGCTATCTGATGCATCCGTCTTAAGGAGTGTCTAGAGGTCTAGGTTAAAGATCGTAAGGATCGGAGCCTCCGTAAACGCCTTCTTTAGTTTCTATATTACCCCCCTAGCGTCGTCTATCAGAGTAAAGGTCGCGACTCCTTTCTTTATTAGGTCCGTTAAGGGTACTGCGATTCGCGAATAGTTCCTGATGAACTTCCTCGAGTAATTTACGAATCTAAGGAACGCTTATAGTTCCTTTAGCGTCGTTAGTTCTAGCCATTCTAATACGCTCTTAATCTTATCTAGATTAATCTATAGTCCGTCTTACGAGACGATGTAACTAAGAAACTTTACTCTTAGTTTATAGAACTGGCACTTTTCTAGCTTGACCGGTAGTTAGTAATCCTTTAGTACTTCCAGTACCTCTATAACGTATTCTATATACGACTTATAATCCTTTAAGTAGATTAGAATGTCGTCTAGGTATACGACGTAGAAGATATCTAAGTATTTCCGCAAGACATTATTAATTAATACTTAGAACGTCGCTAGTACATTAGTGAGCCTAAATAGCATCACGTAGTATTCGTATAGACTATAGCGGGTCCTGAAGGCTGTCTTCCATTCCTCGCCTTCTTTTATACGTATACGGTAGTACGCGTCTCTCACATCGATCGTTATAAAGTACTTCGCGCCTTTAAGCCTATCCTAGAGCTTATTAATCCGTAGTAGCGGATATACATTTTTAACGGTAATGTCATTTAACTTCCGATAGTCTATATACAGTCGGAGTTCTTTACCGTCCTTCTTAAGGATAAACAGGATCGGATAGCCTACTTCTAATTCTAAGGGTCTAATATAGCCTTTTACTAGATTATCCTTAAGGTATTTACGTAAAGCCTATTACTCTACTTCGGATAGTAAGTAGAGTAGTCTGAACGTAGGTCTTTTCCCCTCCTAGAGTCGTATTTTATGATCCTACGGCTTATATTTAGGTAGCGCCTCGAGTCCTACCTTCTTTTTAAAGACTTCCTTAAGTCCTTTATATTCCGGCGGGTATACGGATACTTCGGCCAGTATTTTCATAGGTCGTACCTAAATCTCCTTCCTCTCGAAGGGTTATACCGCCATTACTTCTCGGTCTTAAGGTCTTTCTATATAGTTATAGTTATCGAACCGTACCTAGACCTTTACCTAGTCGATAATAGGATTATACCTTTTTAACTATAGCATTCCGAGTATAATATTATATTTCGTTTCCGTAACGTTAAGGCTGATTTCTTTATAGTACTCGTCGATCGATAGTCGAATTCTTCTTAATTCGTATATGACATTAGATAGTGCCTTCCCGGTGAATCCTAATAGCTTATAGGTCGTAGCCTTCTCGTATTTCCACTCCTTTAGCTTATTAGCTATCCGGTGGCTAACGATATTACCGGTATATCCTAAGTCGATAAGGATATGTACTTCTTGATCTCTTAGGGTTCTATATAGAATGATTAAATGCGAGTAAGTCGCTATAGCTATTTTATATAGTTCCTCGGGTTAATCCTCCTTTACGCTTTTATTACGAGCCCTCTCCCGCTTACGCCTTAATAGAGCCGTTCTTCCCTAGGCGGCCTACTCTATAGGCCGTCCTTACCTTAGTTTTTTAGCCAGTATAGGTAGTCTATCTTCCCGTTCCGTAGGTCGGATACCTTATAGTTCTAATCTCTACATTGTTTAACTAATAACTAGTATACCTCTCTAGCTTCTTTAATTAACATTCCTAGAGCTTCCGGTTATAGATAGTCTAGGTATCGTTTATAATAATAGGGTATATTCCTTAGCGGACATCTCGCTACCTCGTTATAGGCGAAGTTACCCCTAATTAACACTCCCTCTAGTATCTCGTCTACGTACGGTACGGGGACTCCTCGTTCTCTATAGATACGGAACACCTCTAGGATTCTATCATCGTTTAATCCTAGTATTCTAGCTCGTTCGTATCGCTCTCTAAGGATTCGCCGTTCTTCTAAGATCCTTATTATAAGTCTAGCTATTTCCTAGAGTATTTCGTCTCGCTATTCTTCGGTTCCTCCTACTTCGAGGTCCCGTACCCTCTATACGATCCGAAGAGCCTCTTCATATAGTTATTCGAGCATCGTAAGTATAGTTAGGTATTCGTCGTCTTCTTCCCATCCGTTTAGGTCGTATCGGCCTATTATATTAATTTCCGGTTCTACTTAGCTTTCTTCGATCTTATACATATATTATGTTTCTAGGTTTCCCCCCTAATATAAATGAACGTAGCCCTCTATTTAATTCCTAGGGCATTCCGGGTTCTTATATAGGATAATCGAAAAGATCCTTTCCCTTAGCTTCGGTTCCTCTATCGGTTCGTATACCGTATAACAGTATTAGAATATAGTTCCCTTTAAGTATATAGGATCTACGTACTCCTTATCGCTCTAGTACCTTATCTTAATATAGATGCGATTCGGGGTAATAGCGAGGATTATTACGCTTTAGTAATCTACTGATTCTCCTACGTAGACTACGTTTACTTCTAGTTTTATCTCTGATCTCTTTACCTAATTCTTTTTTTAGGGTTCTACCTAATTTACCTATTTCTTTAGGGACCTACATTCCTTCGTATAGTATCTAGGCTTCCCGTAATTATAGTAGTTCCCTTAATTCTTTAGCCTATTAGTCTTTTTATTTTACTTCGTGTCCTTATTCTAGGCCGTTCCTCGTTTCTTCTAGACCTAGTCGAGATCCATTAGTATTAGTCCGTAGTATAGTTACCTCTATTTCTTAGTATTAGACCTTTACTCTCTTACTACGAACCCTCGTCGGTAGTTGTCGTAGCGTTTATATTCTTAGTAATCGTTATCGACCTAGATTACCTTATCGATCTAGTCCTCGATTTTCTCGCCTTTATACGTCCTTATTTCCCATTTAATCGCTAGCTTAAGGCCTTCGCGAAAAATAGGGATCGATATATTATCGCCCTATCCTAATGCTACGTTTAGGGTCCGGAACTTAGTTATATAATCTTAGACCGAGCCCGTTTAGCGTAGGTTTATAATTTATCGTTCCGCTTCCTTCTCTTTATCTCTCGCCTTAAACACTTTTCGGACCTTCGTCTTGAACCCCTGAAAGGTTCGAAACAGTGTAACAGTCTCTTCTTCTCTATTACCTAGCTAATTTTCCATATAATCTTTAATGAATGGGCGAAGCTAGGCCTCGGCTCCTCCTTCGAAGTAGCTTCCTATAAAGAGGATCTTTTATATGTCGCTTAGGAAGTCTCCTAGGTTCATTAATAGATATATATCCATATAGTGAATAAAGGGCGTGAGTCTCTCCTACGCTCCATTAAAGGGCTTAGGTAGGTTCCCGATCTTACCCTTAGGTACTAACTCTACTGTAGTAGAGGTCGCCGATGCTACCTCTACCGTAGTGGTGTCCGATGGCGTTAGTCTTGGTGTACTAGGTCCTGCCATCGTGTCGTCTAGGGATAGGCGTAATGCTTGTCGTGTAAGGAGTTCGTCGGTCGGGGATGTAGGTCTTGTATGTCTTCCGTGACCGCTTATAGAGGTCGTCTCTCGTACTAGTTAGTGGTAGCTAAAGTGTTAGAGCTGCTTCCTATATGGCCTAACGGGGTTAGGCTTCCTCAGTTACAGTCCTTTTTGCATGAGCTGGGTCGAGAGTACGTAAGGTATGAGTAGTCGAGTGACTTCAGAATAGTATAGTGAAGTAGATGTTATAAGTTAGCTACGAGAGAGTGTAACTATGAAAGGGGGAATGAGCGTAGCTATATACTTATAAGGTGTGTCCTGAATAGACAACCGGGGACGATATGTTGATATGTTGATATGGACTATACTAATATATCGCCATATCATTTCTTTCCCCTTTAGGTAGTCACGTGCGGCACGTGACCTAGCCTTGTATCGCTAGGCTGCTAACCGGCAGACCTGCCTCCGGGCGCCCCGCGCTCCAGGTCATATGAAGGCCGTTTCTAACAGATAGCTTCGGCTTTCAATAGCTGGGTGAGACCAACTAATAGTTGGGCTTAGCGTTACAGCATGATATATCGGATAAAAGATTTTCCTTATGGTCTCTAGTAGTAAAGTTTATCGAAGGACGGAACGTAACGAACCTTGACTTTGGCCAGCTAGACAGCTGCTAGATCGACCCGTGGCCGAATATTTCGTGATAGGCTGTTTGCCACTAATCGCGAATACCGCGATGTTTGATGATATAACAGCACACAAGCGCTAACATACCTTAAGCAATCGAGCACTTAACTCGTTGTCCTTATGGAGATACGGAACTGTAAGGGGAGTGGGATGATAGCGAAGCTGGACCTAGACTTAACCTAATTTAGAGAAAGGAACTTTTGTAACCATGACGTCAACTAGAATTAGTGGGACAGGTTATGGGTACTATAAGCTTAGCCGAGGCGATAAATTGGCAACTATAGGCGGGTGCCGGGAAGCCGGCCCTGGCCCAGATATGGGCGCCACTGCTCAGGCCGCACTCTACAGTACTCAGTCACGTGCGGAGCATCTCAGGTTGAAGCGGCGAGCCTCAGGGCCACGCTCAGGTCCAAAGATGGAAATGGAAAGTCCTCGTGTCGAGATTCCGACCTCGAAATACTTGTTTTACATCGCCATCTCAAACGATAAAGTGGGTATTGTCGAGTTTCTTGTTGAGGAAAAGCTCGCACAGATTGCGGGGACCAACAAAAAGTACCCTCATGATACGCCGCTACACTGCGCCGCCCGGAATGGATCCATCAAAGTCGCAAGCTACCTTGTCGAAAAAGCTCGGGGTTTGATCAACGCAAGGAATGACGAGGGAGATGCCCCTCTGTCATTGGCAGTGAGAGAGAAACACCGTGATCCGGCAGTGAGAGAGAAACAACGTAGTGTGGCTGAACTTTTGCTGAATCACAAGGCCGACATTAACTCCACCGACAGCAATGGTCACACACTACTCCATTATGCCGTCAAATGCGAAAGCCCAGACTTCGTTAGGACTTTACTCAGCCACGGATGTAAGATGGAGACGAAGGATCACGCTGGCAAATATCCGCTACAATATGTTATGGAGATGCACTCGTCGAAAGAAGCATCATCCTTGGAGCTGTTGCGCGCATTTCTGCATGACAATAAAAATCAAGCATCGTTGCGCGCGGGTTTTCCTGTGTTGTCCAAGGCCAGCCGCGATGGAAAGCTGGTATTGGTCGAAGCAATGATCCAGAGCCACTCCAATCTCGTGTCGTGGAAACCACAGCCGCCCTTTGACAGCAAATTCAAACCGGCACTGCACGAAGCGGTCAAAAACGGCCAAGAAGAAGTCCTCAAGAAGTTGTGCAAGGTGGCAAGCCTCGATGCCATCAACATGAAGGACAGCACAGGTAATACTGCCTTGCACCAGGCCATCATCAGCAACCAGCCAGGTATGGTGTCTCTCTTGATCGACGCTAAGGCCGATATGGAGCTTGCGTCTGGTAAAGCTGATGGGTTGTTGCCTCCGCTGCACCTTGCAGTTCACCACATGAATTTGATGGCCATCAAGGCACTTTTGGGCCAAAAGGTAGATGCGAGAACGCGCATACCCGGGAATCCAGTCTGCAACTATTGTACCTCGGTGAGAAACCCGCCACAGAGTAGGGATGCCAGATGTATCCTCTACAGCGTGGACCCTCGCCAGTCACACCCCGATTTCCACGTGATTGATGACTTGCTATCAAAAGCCACCAAAACACCCAGAAGACCGCAGGTGGTGGGCAACCAGACAATGGTGCCTAGGAGGCCCGCAGCCTTGTTGAAATAATAGAATTTGCCTTTCAGGCTTGAATTCTGGACTAGCGTATTGGTTGGTAATTTGAAGCATGTGAAGGAATGTAACTCTCCTGTTGCTTTGTTACATTGTGACGACTATGTCTGTGATAGAACGTCCATCAAGCATGAAAGTAATGCTAACTACCCAGGGAGTCAATCAATGGAAAGATCGCATAGTCTCCCGTGGAAGGAGCAGCAGCAGGGATTGTACGTCTCCTTCTGGGGAGTGTACGGTAGACACACTTATGCCCCCTAGCATTTTATCTCACAGTGTTTCTTCCGAGCCTCGATTTCTCTTTTACCTTTTGTTGTTTCGGTATGGTGTTTGTCTTCTGTGACACTGAGATTGTGGAGTATGTAAGTCCATAAACCCGGGGAAGCGTGGGAAGGGCAAGTCCAGGAGTGAACCAATCATGCTCTGAGGGCCTCGGATAAACCTCGGATGGTATGTTCCGACCAAAACCCCCAGAGCAGATCATGTATACAGAGTGTGTTTCCCTCCCATCAAGCGTCACTTGTCGCAGGTTCGTTTTCGTGTCAATGCCAATGCCAATCCCAACTTCAGCTTCACCTTGAAATATGCGGTCCGTCACGACGAGCTCCTCACGCCGTAGGAGGTAGTATTGAGAGATACTTTTGGCCTGCTCAACCTCTGTCAGTTCTAGGATCACTTCTCCCTCCTCCCCAACGACCACCGCGAACTCCTTGACTACTTCTCCTCCCCAAAGAAGAGAAAAATGACCACCTACGGCAGCGGCGTGCCCCTCTCCTACGTGACCCCCGACTTCCCAGCCCTATACTGGCCCGTCCACGCCAACCCGGGCGAGCCGCAATACCTGTACTTCCTGTCCGACATCTACCGGTACACGCTGTACTGGACGCTGCTCACCATGGTGGCCGCGCACGGGTGCGTCGCCGCCTGGGCCGTGCTCATGCAGCTCGCCTCGGCGGACCAGCGGCGCAAGTACCTCGCCTCACCCGCCGGACGGGCCCTGAGTCCCAAGAACCGCATACTGCTCGGCGGCGGCGACAGCAAGAACCCCATCGCAGAGACGTTGGGCTGGGTCTGGCTCGTCCCCGTCGTCTACATCGTCATCGGGGCCAGCGAGGCCCTCCTCGCCGGCAGCTTGGTCGGCTTGGTCCTCGGCGCCGTCTACAACGCCGGGTACTTTGGGATGAGTACCTGGACGCCGCTCTTGTGGGGGATCATCAATATGCTGGTGTTGGTGGTCAGCAGCTTTAGGATTCAGGGTGGATTGTGATCCCACGACCTACAAAAAAAAAGGAAAAAGGAAGGAAACGATGGAAACGCTGTTTTCGTTTCATTGGGTTCCGTCTACAGTGTTGCATGACATCCCCCAGAACATCTACCGATACATCTCGGATACTCGACTTGAAAAGAGGTGGATGTCACCCCTCCAATACCAAGTACCTGCTAGCATGTGCTTGCCTGAGTCCATGTACCTCAGGAGGGGAGAGTGATCACAAATAGGACGTGCACACGCAGTCCGTCGAGGCTCTAAGCGCAGAAAGCAAGATTAATCCGCAGGACAACAGCATGGGCTGATACAGAAACACGTGTGCCAGATTTAGGCGGACCGGACACAATGATATGGCGAGCACAGTCGGATCTGGAACCCGAACCGGCATCGAGAATAGCGCTTCCCAATGGCGTTTGTCAGGACAGCAGCGCATGATGGCTGACTGCAATACAATGCCTCGAGAACAGATCAGAGAGACATTTGTGAGGTTCACGAATGCTCGCGTAGTCAATCAAAATCACCTACGCAAGATGGACAGTCTCTGACAAGATCCCAGAGACCAACTGACTGGATCAGGCCATCCCCGCTTGGGCTGGGTTGGGTGTGACTCCAGACCTTGCAGCCGTTCTCTCACCCACCACTCTGGATAAATCGAAACGTCAGAGACTGTCATGATGCAGATAGGAAAGATACTTGTCTCATTATAGATCTACGCCCGGCTCCGATCTGTACATCGCCGATGCATGTCGTGGTTGAATCTGCAATTGGCCGTCCCGTCAGCGTTTGCCTCATAAAAATCCATGAACGCTCAAAGCAAACAAGCAAGATAGGTACTGATGGGAAACACAGGTTCAAAATGCCTCCCAGCGTCGTCTTCAGTCTTCTTGACCACCCTGCTGGTAGATATGTCGCGTTCTTGCAGGATCTTTGCGCATCTCGTGACCGCTGCCGGTGAAGCCAACTAGCCAACAGTCAGTAGGATTCTTGGTCTTTAGTGCAACAAAACAAAAACCTACCCCTAGCGTTAACACTTTCGCCCGTGCGGAACATGCTCTCCTTCTTGGTTGTTTTTCCAGCCTTGCTCTTGGCCGCAAAATCTTGCCATTTCGATTTGCCCGCCTCGAGTTCCTTGTTGGCCTTGACTTTGCGAGGAATCTTCGCTGGTCGGATGGGCCCATCGCTGACTTTGCTTGGTTCACGGCGGGCTTGCTGCGCTAGAGCAGGGTCGACGCTGGCTGCGGCCGAGATAACATTCGGATTCGAGGGCGGAGGCACTGGTGTGGATGATCCTGACATTCCATCAGCCTTGCGCTTCCTGGCTTCATTGGTCAGCGGCTTGATGTCCTTGGCTTTGAGTGTTTCTGTATTGCCGTAGTTCTTGAATGTTACGATGTAGACCGGGTCACTAGAGGAACCTGTGATGGAGGTGATGCGCGCTGGATAGAATCCTCCATCCCCGGACTTCCATCTGGCCGAGACCGTGTCGTTGACAGAAAAGGCTGTGGGATTGCTCGTGTCTTCCGTCTCGACCTCAGGCTTCCGATAACCGGCCTGGTACGCAGGATGGTTCTCTTTGGACCATTTTTCCTTCCCTGGCGGGGTGGCAGTTTGCGCAGGCGGAGCGGGTGCTGATGGAGGCTTTAGCTCTGCAATGGCTGATTCGGTGAGGGATATGACTTCTTCAAGTTCTTGTTTGAGACTCTGCAACTCGCTGTTGTCCGGGTCATTCTGCAAACTCAGCTGGACTGTCTCCAGTTGCAGTTTATATTCCTTTACTTCGCCTTCAAGGACCGCGACTTCGGCAGCGTTCATGACTGCAGTTTTGTGGACGGCGGAGTTCGAACGATGGCAAGAGAGAGATGCGAGATCTTTGTGGATCCGATTTACAGGTACACCAAAGAAAGACAATCGATATGAGAGAATGGTTGCAAATGGTTTCCCTACGAAGCCTTGCCTGTACCGGGTACTTTGGATAACGTGCCAGAGATGAGGGCAGTTGGCTTGCGGCTCGCCAAGGCTTTTCGCCTCCGCAGCCGGAAATACTGAACCTACCAATACCTAACATTCGGTGGTGCTTCTCGAACCTCTTTCTTAGCTGTGGCTCCATCACCTTCCGATCCTCAAGAATTTTGCCCTCTTTTTTTAGTCACTCTGCCGCGGCTCTTCTACTTTGTGATCGTCAAACTTGTCGAGAACCCGAAAAACGTCAAGTCGACAAGTCACCCCACGCAAGAGCTTGCCTGCCCTACCACAGCCTCAAGTAACACCATGCGGACATTACGGATAGACAGGGATGTATGACGTCGGTTTGAAGAAAGACAGCTGGTGATAGGAGTGAGAACTTAAAAAAAACAGGCACAGCAAAGTGTGACTCTGCTGCGTACAGCCAAAACGTACCACGCCGGACCCATTGAGCTCGTATCAGGACAAAAGTAAATTTGCGCTCGGAACCCTGGCGACAATTGGTGGAAAGGCAGGATGACGGGCTGGGAGGCTGTTTATGGTAGAGTGGCCGTAGACAGCAAGCACCGCTGATTCGCCGACAGGGTTGAATCGGTATTGAGATGGACCGCCGTGGATGGGCATGGATCGGTCGCGACTCACTGCCGCTTAGAAATCAACTTGGAGGGCCACTCATACGCAGTCTGCTTTGCCTACTCCTGCTGGCATCTCCCGACCAGTATTCGCCACATCTTACCTTGGCTCGCTGAACGAGTGGTTTTACTCCATCCACGACCAAGAGATTGTAAAGAAGATGGTATGGACCGCAGGGCGATTGTGAAGAGGCAAAGAGGCAATAATCCAAGAGGGGAATATGTACCCGGAAACCGCAGTGAATGGCGGCACTTGATACACCTGTACTTTGTAGGCGGTACCTACTACCTAGGTGATCCCTAGGCAAGGTCCAGGCATGCAGGACCCCTCCCCCCGGACAGGACAGGGCTCTAGTTAGGCAGTCTACTCCGTCCAGAGGGAGTTAGCAGAAATCATTTAGAATCACCTAGCGGTTTGGGGGCTTCCGGGTAAAGAGCATCACTAACGGGGCATTGAAGTCGGTACCCCCATAGGCGGTGCTCACTATCGAACTGACACTTCAGGGTCTGCGCCCTTAACTCGTACCATCCACACAAACTCCTCTCTTCTACCACCCTCCGCTCCGATTGATCTCATCGCAACTCTCAATTCCCTTTCTTTTCCACCTCCCTTCCATCTCATTTGTCCGTTTCCAGGTCCTCAGAGCCTTCTCATACCAATATCCGCCGCTGCCATCATTGAGGGTTTTCTGACGAGTTAGAATCACCCATACTTTTCTTTGGGAGCCGCTCGCCCTTGTGCGGTGATCGCCCCGCCTATTATTCGTGCCCCCCAAACTTGACCCTCCCTTCATCCCACTCTGCTTTCATCCCTTCGTTCACTCTACTCCTTCCTCCACGCCTTTCGTATCCAACCTGCGACCTCGAAGCCGCCTCTTGATACTGCCTATCGACGCAGTAGAGGGGGGCACTGTCTCGTGCATTCTGCAATTGAACTTTCTCCCCTTCTTTTCCGACGACCTTGATCTGGTGTTCGCGGACCGTGACAAGTCGTGCTCTCAAGCAACCATCGATTTCCACCAAATTCATGTCGCGACAGTCTATAGAAGGTCTTTACCTATCTTCGGAACAACGAGAGATTCTCCTGGCGGCACTGAAGACCGATTCTTCATCAAATCAATCGACGTCGAATACTC